GCTCAGGTCACCACGATGTGGTCCCATCCCCATTCCCATCTGCTAATGACAAAGTCTCCCGTGAACAAACTTGAAGCAGAGAGGCCAGACAGGGGATCCAGCAGCCGACTTAGACAGCTCACCACCCCTCCCTACTAGATCCCCTGTGTTTCCGGAAAACAAAGCCGGTGGCCAGAGCGGAAGAGGGAGGGCGCAGCCAGCCTGGCCCAGAGTTCCCAAGCAGCACACTGCAACAGGTCCCTCCCCCCACCTAGACAGGACCCTGTCCTGGTTCCTAAAACACACACACCCACAAACACCAGTAGTTCTGCCCGACCATAAATGGTGAGTGGACTTAAAGAGTGGGGAAGGTCTTGGAAAAGGCAACAAAGAGGCAGCCCCAGATGGCAGCAAGCTGGGGACCAGGTGGACAGGGAGCCTGAAGACAAGAGACCTAACGGGACAACAAGCAAAGGGGGACCCATAGTCTCAGGTGGGCTAAGCACCCTGGCAGCAGCACACGGGGGGACTCAGGTGTCACAATGGTGGGTCTCTAGTGGGGTGAGAGTGAGGGACACTGAGGCAGGATTGGGGGGCAGAAAGGGTATCAGGAAATGGGGGCACCTGGGATCACAAGTCGGCTGACCACCTAGGAAACAGTATATACAAAGAAAGTATCAGAAGTCAGATTGCAGGGTCAAGAATAGGGTCAGAGTGGGGGACACTGAAGCAACATGGGGACGTCGAGGAATAGGGTGACCGAAAGGGGGGGAAAACACATGGGGGTCGCAGGTGCGCGGAACACCGGGGAACTGACACTGTGGTTCACTGTGGTTCAGGGGTCGGATCTGGGTCACGGGTGGGGTCGTAGTGGGGGACACTGAGGCAGATAGACCGGAAGTGGGGGCGTTCGGATGCAGAGCCAGGTGCGCTGGGCGGCAGGGTGGGAAGATCGGAGTCACCCGGGGTCAGGAGGGGTCACGGGGTTGCGGCGGGGGTGGGGCGCGGCGGCTACGCGCGCACATCATTACCTGCACCCCGCCTGGGGCCCGCGGGCGGTGGCGGCGGCGGCCGGGCTCAGCAGCGCGGCGTCCCCC